CCTGCTGAGGTTTAGTGGTCCACGTGATGTGCATTGCAGATCTCAGGGCAGTGTTCAGTGGAAGGATGTTCACCTCACAAAGCCCTGCCCCGCACCACTGTTCACGGCACTGAATAATCAGTTTTAAGTATTCAGATCAAAGCTAAGCTCTTCTCAGGATCTCCTTCCAGCTTCAGCCAATGAAGTTCACTGTTAAGAAGACTTAAGGGGATGCATTGGCCCTCATGCTGACTTAACCTCAGTACCAACAAACCAATACAACTTGAAAAGACCAAACTTAATGTGGATGCTCACATGGCAGTGCTTTAACTTAATGAAAAGTAATGCAGGGAAAGAATTACGGTCCTGTCTATGTTTAGCTGAAATGTGGGCTCGTTTTCTGTGATAAGCAGGCAAAACTCTCACATTTTACAGTTGCTTCTTTACGTTTCTGTATTGTTACCTGTTCACTCATGCTGTTAATCCCATCCGGCCCCAGCAAGGATATGGCTTGTTTAACCAGATCCGTTCGGCCACAGTTGAGCATCCGGAAACCCAGGTCCTGCTTGAACTTCGCTTCAGTGGCAACTGCATCCAGTTTCCGAGATGCACAAAAACAGTCGTCGATTCTGTGGATGTGAGAAATAAACTCCCTCAGAGTACAATCAGAGGACAGACCTCACTGTCTCTAGGAAAATGATACTTTGCCCTGCCTTTGAAGGATGCAGGTCATGTACATACTCATTCTCCTTTGACCTGTGTGTTTCAAGGGAAGCGCTGAATGGGAAATGCTAATGCAAGCTAATGGAGATTGCCCTTGGTCTATCTTTCATGGGACAAGTTATACACTTTATAAAAAATTGGGCAAAAAAAGTACAGTTTTCACTTGATTTTGTTTCCCTGTTTAAGCAATCCACAACACATTCTCACCCCAAGTTGTCTCTCTGCAAGGCAAGGTCATCCAGTCCCCCTGCTCTCTGAAAAGCTTCAGTGGCTTCAGGAAGCTTTGAACTTACATCAAATGGATGTATAATCATTGACAATACAAGAAAGAGAAAATAATGTCACTCCAAACACCTTCAACGATCTTACCAGCTCGGCCCTGTAACGGGGAAGCCTTTTTGGAGCAGAAAGTGCAAGTCACAGAAGCACAGACTGGCTGAGGTTGGAAGGGACCTCTGGAGGTCATCTGGTCCAACCCTCCTGCTCAAGCAGGGTCACCTGCAGACAAGCACGGTAGCAGGCGATCAGGGAGGAGAAGGCAATCTTGCCAGGCAATCGTGGCGAAACACCACAAATCCTTGCTGGCTGTGCGTAACGGATGGCATGTCATTCTTTTAAGGTCTTATTCAAAAGATCCCCAAATTGTAAAATGCTCAAGGTATCCATTTCAAATGGAAGAAAGGCTAGGAGTTATTTTGTCAAGATGTGAATCTACAGCTCCAGAGAGAGCCAGGCAGTTCCAATCTGATGTTTATCCAACTCAGTTTCATCTTATTAAAAGACAGATTTGCTTTTCTTTCATGCTGAGAAGTGTCTGGGGCAGAGGGTGGAGTCCAAATCCACAATGCTTTTGGTGTGAACTTGGATAAAGGACTGTTTGGATCACTTTCATTCTCCAAAAATGCTAGGTCAGAAAACGAGGGGCTACTTATGACTGAAAAACAAAACAAAGATCAAGAGTGAAAAAGTCAAGCATACATCAAATATTGAGTTTCTATTTCATATGTTAAAAAATGCAGCAAACCAAAAGAAAAATGTAAACAGTGCATTGCTATCATTTAAATTTCTTCTTCAAAGTGCTTTATCAGAGCTTTATAAAATACATAACACTGCTTAATATTTTACAGCAATATGCAATGAATATGCCGTTTATATAGAAGCAGTAGTATGTAGTAATAGCTACGACTCTTCCTCTTTCAACAGAGGAAGGAAAGTGAGATGGAAAATAGAAAGTATTTTGATCAAAGCTTCTGCAGCACTTAGTACTGAAACCGGCATCTGAGCTCAAGCTCGCTCTCTGCCACGCTGGGCCCCAACCAGTCTGGAAGACAACAGATGTTTTGTTGATGTTCATTCTACGTGCTCAGTTTGGGTTTTGACTGCTAAAAAGTTGATGCCCTAAGAATGGAAATAAGGTATGCTTGGAGTATCATTACTCAAGGGAACGAACACGACACTTCACCACAACAGTATGCTGCAAGATTAATGCACAACACTCGGTCACAATAAATATACCATAACAGCAATAACACATTCTGCACCAGTAATATTCCTACAACAGAGATGAGGAAAGCAATGCATAGCAAGGCTGGGTCTTCTGCAGTAGTTTCTGAGCACATTTAAGGACAAAGCAAAACCAGCACAGATATGCAGGGCTGAGCTCAATGACACCAAGATCCACGGGAGCAATTGCAGCTTTAACACGTTCACACCGTATGGCACATTTCTGACACAAGAGCTAAAGCAACATTTGGTACTTGTTACCCCCATAGCATAAGACGCTATAGATCATCTGTGCACTCCTTTAACGCATTGGCACAGATAAAGCATGCTCAGAAGTTAGGTGCTGGGAGTTTTGGTGCATGGAGACAAAGTCTGGACCTCCCAGCTGCAGCTGGTCATTTACAGATGACTCTGGGCCGAAAATGAGGTGGCTCCTCAGCAAAGTGCAGCTATGGAAAGATCTAGACAGCCTCTGAGGACTGCAGAGGTGTCAGCCACTATGAATCACTGCCTGTGTTGAGCCACTGCTTCATCATTTGTACTGAAGTATGTAACATACACTCTGAATAAAATGGGTCAAACTCAGTGCTGGCAGAAACAGGCAGAGCTTCGCTGACATTAGCCCGGCTTGGCACACGCAAAACGCTAGTTGATGATCTCCTCTTTAAAAAAAGCCAGATTTTGACCTGGGTTGCACACTCACCCAAGGGAAGAAGGAGGAACAAGAACCTATCTCACCTATTCTGTACGGGCTGCCCAGATGTCTACTCTGGCATGGGTTCAGAAATTACTTACTTCTCCATAAGTAACTCCTCCATGAGTTGGCTCTGGTCCCCTAAAAGTACATTGGTTCACCTGCTTATAGCCAAGGAAGGGGACTCATTAACTACTGATGATATTGGGTATGAGTAAATTAGTACTCCTCAATCAAATGAGGGGATAACAGTCTTGGAACAAGAGCTCTGGGATGCTACAGCTGTACAAATACTGCAACCATAACACGGATGAAGAGGAGTGCAGGCGCTGCAAGGCTGCTGAGCAGAACTGATGAAACGTGATCTAGACTAAGTACCACAAAGCAACAAACCACGACTTAGTGCCATTACCACTTGCCCACTGCCTTGTTATACCTCAAAAAAGATCTATTGCGAATGAGTTACAGCCCTGATTTATGGGACATAGCTAAGGAAACTATACGGCAAAATTTGACATAGATCATTGCAGGTGCCGCCACTGTCATATGCTGACTAATACAATGGGTAATGATCAAATGGTGTAGTTTAATAAAACAAGAGCTTGATGCAAGGGAAAGGAATGGAGGATACTTGAGAAGAGAAAGTGTAGCAATGTCTCAAAAAGCCAGAGAGATGAATGAGTTAAGGAAAAGGAGATTTAACGTGTAAGGAAAAGGAGATTTAACGTGTACAGATAAAAAACAGTGAAGAGAGTGATCAAAAATGATCAGGAACTACAAGTACAGAAAAGGAGAACACAGCATCACTTTTAACAGTGGAGAAAGCCAACTGGGAAGACAGTACAGCAGACAGACTGAGCAGTTGCATTTCAAAATGAAAACTGAAAAATCAAAAAAACCCATCCCCGAATCCATAAAAAATCAAGCCTAAGCCACCACAGCACTGCATTTGCTCCTAAATCTTTTTTCATACCATTGACTGCATAATGTTGATGCCAGCAGGAACAGAGGGTCTCTGCTCCATATTATACTGTACAAGGGGATGCTGCTCCATCACAGACACCATCCAGAATCACAAACATTAAAAGACGCAAGATAAAAAAGGAGGAAGGGAGCAGGCACCCAGGCTTGACTCACTCAAGATTTCCTAAGTTTGTACTGCAACAAATACACTGACAAGCTATGAAGAGGTGGGAAAGGGATGAGAAGAAGCTTGGAAAATAAGGTTGACAAGGAACGGTTAAGTCAGCTAAATATACAGGGTTACTGTTTAGAGCTGTGAAACTGTGCCTGCAAAGCACGGGAAGCCAGTGTAAGCGCAAACAGAGCCAGAAACCTCCCCAGCTGTGCAGTCAGTTCACGGCCCTTTGGCCAGAAAGTTTTTGTGATCTTTCCAATCCCACAGGAGGCCGACAGCGGGACATTCCCTCCAAGGCCATCTTGGTTTGTTGCCAGATTCTGCCAGCTGCAAGCAGTCACACAAGTTGTCCTCTCCCCAAGACCTCACCCTGCAGAAAAGGTGCTTTTTCATGGAAGGGGCCGAGAAGGCTGATGGGAGGAGCAGAAGAGCAAGGCGCCAGTGCTCTTCTCTCCCTCCTCTCCCTGGGGACAGTCTCAGGATGGGAGGACATCACCACCGCGGATATAACTGGGTCAGGTGAACTTTGAGGTCCCTGAGAGATGATACAGTGACAGAGGTAGGACTGCCCAGCATCCTTCAAGGGTGATAGCCTCTCTCAAAAGGCTGAGCCCATTCTGGATTCGCCTGCTTAGCAACCTGTGGGGTTGGGCAGGCTCCTTGGCCCCACCACCTCTGTACACACGCTCCCACTCCCAGAACTGAGAAGTAATATGCTTGAACTAATAACACACACTGATCATAGTCCTCGTGCTCAAAAGCAAATCCACCCCCCTAATTCAGGAGTTCAATCACACAGCCTGTAAACTCCCTAATGAGTCCCTCCCTACCTTGAATTGAGCAAACAATTGCCCTTATCAGCAAGAAGAAAATTAAAAACAGGTGAAATATTCTTGATTTTCTATTTGTAGAAAAGCTGCGACCACATTTTTTAACTTAGAATGCAATCCAATTTTCTCCAAGTCCTCTTTTTAATTCCTCACAGATATTGCTTCCACAGCAGTTATCTTCAAGATCATTACAGTGTTGCCACTGCACATAATTAACTTTATCGTGGCTTTATATGGGGGATGCCATGGTAACATTAATTATTTGCAAATGGTCACTGTCCAATGCTGCATGGTGACCACGACACTCTATCGTACTCCAAATACTCAAACCTCTGAAAGGAGTCAAAGATAATTTTCTTCATTTATAATGGGTCCTAGCAGTGCAGTAAATTATTTTTATATTTTCCCAAACTCACATTATGAAAACATAATGCAGTACTTCTACAGCAACAGTTTAAATGCAAGGGTTTTGTTTTTTCATTTTCTCTCGGACTGGCTAAGAGAGGGTCTGTGCGGATCTTTATAATAAATTACTCATGGATTGAATACATTAGGGAAAACGGATGATTCAAAGGCAAAGTGTTTCCATCGTAACTGGTAGACACAGCAGCGCTCTCATTACGTACCTTTTTAATTATTTGTTCTTTGGGGGGGGGTGTTATTGCTATGGTCAGTAGTAGACAACTAAAAAAAAAAAGGCAACCCTCTGTAAATGTTACCAAAAAGAGTAGGAACATCCTAATTGTGTTCTAAGTTCTATGTGCT